GTCTATATCTGATTGAATATATATTAAGTGCTAAATATTCTAAGACGAATATAATGGACATTTTCAAACTTTACTTCGTATTTCTGAAATCGAATACTATCCATAGTCGTGTTTCGCACTGACAAGAGGGTTTGTTATATATTAGTTTATCAATTGAGTATCATACCTTTTATTTTATTTCTATGAGTGTTATACTGAATAGGATTGATTTAGATTCAAAAATGAGTTTTGTTTGTCAATAATATTCTATTAACAATTTTACTTGCAAAAAATCATTTGAAAAATTGACTCTGTAGTTGTTGACTGAAATATTCGAATATTTCAATGCTCGAGATCATCATTACACGTTTTTCAATCTTAATTTTCGCTTCATTACACTTCAATATCTCAATCATCTTTGTCTTACTCTATCAACATCTAACTCTTTTGAAACTATTGATAACGAGATTTCATATCTTTATATTCGCATCTTGATTATTAAAAAATGATGGCCAATATTCGTCTCAGTTATTTCAATAATGTTGTTCGTCGTCTTATTTGACATGATTTGTTGGACAGTTCATTTGAGACTTGACAAATTAATATTTTACCTCATTTACAATATCTGTCAACTATATCTTTAACTTTATCTAATATAAATGCAATGACACAAACACTCAAACAATGGTCATAATCACCATCGTTACAGATTTCAAAACTTAAATGAATACCTTTTTCTGTCTATAAAAACTATTCTTTCATCGTGTTCTAAATGACATTTTCTTCAGTTTTGGAGATGGCTGTCGGATGCAACAATATTTCATATTAAACCACATGCTATGTAGTTGAAAACAATTGATAAATTTAGTTTTTATTTCCATTTTTCTTCATCTAATACAATCAAACAATCCAGTATTATGAATATTTGTAGTTAAATAGAAGAAAACTTTTAAAAAATCCATAATAATAGATATCAATCTAAAATGATACTAATATAATGTTAGCATTCATTATACTAAGATTACTATAAGTATTTTTAAAAACTTTTTAAATAGATTTATACTCTTTTCTTCCGAGTTAATCTTTAAAAGAATAGATAAAATATTTTTTGCTTGAAATTCTTGCTTAATCAATTACTTTTACACTTATTAGTACAGATCATTTTATCATATTCAATCTGAGTCAATGGATTAGTCAATAAGATTCTCTAATTATTATATACATTATGTCATTTTGGATAGATTCAGTATATGTACTTTAAATCTGAATAATTTCATATTTATTGTTCGGCTTTTTATTGTGAAAATGATAAATAGATAAATTCGACTTACCAATGTATTAATTCATCGTGAAATTAATTTAATTTGTTGATCTAATCAGTATTATATCAATCAAAGGTCAACTTATAACAAAATAAAACTTTTTGATGGGCATTCCATCAAAAAGTTACTACGACTCAACATACTTATTGTTATTTCAGATGAAAATGAGATAAATCTTTTAATTTAAGAGAAACCATTTTGTTTTCTCCTGAACTAAGTCTACATATGATTCATTAGGCATTTCAATTGACATTTTACATAGTAAAATACTAATTAAAATATCTAAATGATCGAAATTTATTTTAGTTCTCATAATAAAGAGAAACAACATTTTTGTAATTATTTTAAAAACATATTTAACGAGGAGCACTTTTAAAAAATGTTAAATTCTTTTGTTCCTATGATTATTCTAACATTTGTTGTCGAAATGAGCGAAAAAAGATATAAATGGACTTAAATAAAAAAGAAAAGTTCGAAAACAAGATGACCATAACTTCAAGATGAAAAGGAGTCTTTAAGTATTCAAATGATCTTCATCATCATTTTTTGCATGAAGTTTCTGTTGCATATATATTATTCTCACTGATTCGATGAGCATAATTCGAGATAATATTACAATGAAATAGTTACATAGAAATATATATACATATACAAAAATAATCTGCCTTATATTATCAACGGTAGAAGCAGCAATTTGTCAAACTTCACTGGTTTTCTGAGAGAGAGTATGGTTTCTCTTTTTCGTCCATTATAACAATTGATAGAGTTTTATCATATTTCGTCTCAACACTCTGAGTATTGAGCCAATAAGTGATCATGTGACCAATGTCCAGTTGAAATAATCACCAAATCGCAGTTAATTCGAAATAAAAATATAATTTCGGGGTTTTATCTAGTATATGTTGACTCTATAGATATTCTATTGAAATGAGAAATATAACTTTCAATTATTTCTTTACTTTCAAATTTTCTTAACTTGATATTACTGAACAAATTAAAGTGGAACCACATGAGAAGAGACCATCAATATCAGATGCAACAAGTTAGATAAACCAAATAAACTTCCTAAGTCTTTATTTTCTTGCCTTAATTGAATGAGATGACGATTTCCTCAAATGCTCAGATCCAAGTAGAAAATATTGACTATAATAAAACCAGATATGTATTCATAACTATGTTCACTCAGAAGTGTTCTATTTTAATTTCTTCGAAATTTGTACGACTCATATTACGATGTTACTAAAATTTGAAAGCCCTGAAAGTCACCATGAACAAGATCAACATAATCGAAATATTGACACAAGTCATCAACCAGAAATACAAACTCCACCAAAAGTAGTACAACAGAGACAGAATTTTTACGTATCTTTGATATTCTTCTAGCCTTACCTACTTGTATTCCTTTGTTTTCTCATCATTTTTGACTCTTGTTGTTTTTGTCTCCATCGAAATTTTGATATCTTATTGATCATTATGAACAGCAATGTTCATTGTTGTTGACACAGTGAATCTTTATGCTAAACGAAGCATTTTCACCTGCACATACGTATATATGTATATATTTCTATATTTGAGAGAACATGGCAAATGTTGATTTTCTGATGGAAAAGAATAATGAAAGTAATTTTTAAATATCCTTTTTTCAACCATATATTTTTCGGTTGATCGATGAATGTGTTTTTTTTTCATGTGGTATAATGGCTATGACTGTTCATGTAATAAAATCAAGTAGAAAAGAAATTATCTTTAATGAATATTTGTTATGTTTTCACTTTATTGTTCTTATAATCAGCAATGATGGCATGGAATAGGAAAAGAAAACAATATACGATGCACTTCCAGTGGTTCAAAATTCATCATCGTTCTTATGTCATTCTCGTATATGAAAGAAGGAAAGAAACATCCAACAAGCACAATACATCATGTCGCTCCAGATTTCGATGTCAAGGAAATGGAGGACTTGTTGGCAGATGTTATTAAAGTCGATCTTCTTCCAATTTTTGTTCTTCAACACCATCTATTAAATTCAAATTTTCACGAATAATTACAATTCATAATTGAAAGAAATGATTTTCTAACACACATTGAAGATCGTGGCATAGACGAAAAAAATGTCATTTTCTTTCCCGATGGTAAAAATTTCTAGCCGTTTAACTGTCATGTCATTCCCACTGAATGTATACACAAAAAGTCGAGGGTGGGCGTGAAGGTGTGGGTGAGTATGCATATCGGTGTGAGTATTCACCACAAGCTTCCTCATCCACACCCAGACCCGCACTCACTCTATTATTATTAATGAAATAGTTTATGAAATTGTTCGCTAACATGTTGCCACATAGACAACTTAGACATGTGCCAAAAGCTAATACATATGGGTTTCCAGATATAACAATAAACATGAAGTTTAATAATCAGTCATAAATGTTTGTTTAGCAATAACACATATGCATGTATAATAATTTAAATCAACAATTGATTTCTATTTTTATTTTTTCATAATACGAAAGTATACATGATTAGTATAAAAATTTTGTCACTATGTTAAACTTTCAGTCTTTGTGTACGACTGTTAGGGAACGGCATCTATCTTCCCAACTATCTTCGCATTATACTTCCCTAATATCCTTCTTTATTGCTTTCGATTGGCTTACTCAATCGATATAAAGATATACGTCAATTGATATAGTTTTGTTTGTTGTTGTTATTTTCTATATAGTTCTCTTGTTATTCCTAGTCATCTTTTTGTTATTATTTGAAATAAACTCACACATATCCTAACAACGACCATCATCAGAGCATTAATAAGAGTGTGGGTGTGGAATGTAGGTATTATAATTTCTCTATTTAGAGACTGAATAATTAATAACTCAAGAAGTGATATCAGTCGGTTGCGTGAGTGGGTGGCTGAGTGTAGTACGGCTGCTCGAGACGAGAAAACCTACAGCCACATCATCAAGTCAGGCTCGTACTTATAATTTATAGATTTATTCCTACACATATCTGGTCTGTTAAATGAAGTGAAAAATATATTTACGGGAAGATTCTCAAGAAATGTGCGATGTTTTCTTCCAGAAAAGTGCTAGCGAACCTGTAGAATGAGTGTGACTTTGTTTATAGTTCTATTGTTTCAAAATGAGATGTGTCATTGCCAGAAAAAGATTATTTGATTAAAATAATTCAGATGTATTACATCATCTTCTAGGAATGAGTCGCTGATATAATATCTTTTGAGAATCCACTGTTGATGTTCTGATAAAACAGAAACGAACGCGGTTTGTCGTAGAGCGGTCTTGTTTCCACTTATACACCCACGCCCTTCGATAAACATAGTAAGACAAAAAGAAATATACTTTTATCAGACAAAATCATTTGATAAGATTTTCTTAGCACAATCGAAATGCATCATGTTAGCTTTTAGTTTGTTTATGCAAACACACACCCACACCTTCAAGACCCGTGCAAAACAATTGATGACTCGAAGTCGCGCACTTCGAACCACAAATCGTTTTTGCTGACTTTTGCGTTTTCGTTCGTAGTGGTAACACAACGACGAAGACAGTGAGCGAGTAATGCCTACCTCTCCCTTCTCTACTATTACTGCCCTTATCTTTGATATCTAATTTCTTTCATACATCTTAGAAGAAGAAGAAGCACACTAGTTTCGTATACTTTAATAAAAAAAACCAAGTGTCGACGAAAATGAATTTTATCACCGGCACATGTTTGTGTGGTCAGATCATTGTTACTATTACCAAAGAAGCACTAGCTGCAACCGACAAGACTTATATATGTCGTTGCAAGAATTGTCGTCAATCTGGTGGCTCTCTCGCATCAATCGGTATTATTGTTCCTGAATCAGCTTTTAATATCACCGGACAGCCAAAAATATATCTTGACAGTAATACGGATAGTGGAACATCGATTCAACGGGCTTTTTGTGGCAATTGTGGTAGCCAAATTTATACGGCTTCACCCACTATGCCTGGTGTCAAGATTTTGAAATTGGGATTATTTGACGAAATTCCTAAACCATCTATGGAATTGTATTGTAGAGAAAGACCATCTTGGGACAAACCAATTGAAGGTACAAAGCAATTTTATACGATGCCGACCAAAGATTCATAATATTCGAATACAGTCAATAACTTACTTAAATAATTTCTTTATAAGGTGCTATTCATGAATAAAACATTATTGGCTTAGGTTCATCTTTTTTTACTCGCCATAACACAACAAACTAAAACAAAATGTATCGCATTATGAATGCATCATGGTCTGTCTACTAGCTATTCATTCATTGTTTTGTTTTGGGTGTGGGCATGAAAGTGTGTGTGGATATGAGTAACAAAACATCCTCACACACATACATCTTAATTAAGTGGTAAGAAGCAAGAAAACAGTTGAAATTGCTTGTTTTTGACTTTATTCGAATTTGATCGAGTACAATGTCACATATAAGCATCAGTCTCACGAAACGCTTCAGTTCCTCGACTACTCTCATACGTGCTCTCATCTTTATAAATTGCCGTTTGATAGTTCTTGACTCTTGTTGCAACCCATTCTTTGGCTGTCAATACATGATCTTCGGAATGTTCTTCTGTTCCATTATTTATTACACTTTTCATTAAGACATTATTTTCTGGTCTTGAAAAGTAAACAACACTGTAACGGTCTACTATTTCCTTGAGCCCAGGCACAGTTATAACACGATGTATGTTCGATTTGAGGATACCACCAGAAAGTTTGACCATAGCATCACCAAGATTAACAATCGCATGTCCTGGCAGCGGTTGAATATCTAACCATTCTCCATTCAATCCTAAGGCTTGTAGACCACCTAACCGATTAAAAAGGATCGTTATCGAACCAAAATCGGTATGTGCACCAAAAGCCGCATCTGGCAGACATCCCTTTTGAGTAGGATACATCGTAGACTTCGTAAGTCTCAATTGATCACCACTTGGTTGCTTAAGTCGATGCAAGTCTGGAAGAACTCGTGAATCCAATCCCAATTTCAATGATAGAGCTTCCAGAATTGCTAATGCGATTTCATGCGACTTCATCATATAGTCCTTTATGATGTTTTTTGCATCGATGATCGGCTCAGGAAGTTCCTTTTTATCTTCGATAAGAATTTCATCCTTTGAGATGTTCCAAAATTCCATCCTATCTGGAGTGCCTTTTCTGTCAGAAAACATAGAACCAGCGGCCTTATAGCCAAAATAGACTCCATTACTTCCATCCATTGCGTATTTCATTTTAATATCTAGTGGTAGTTCAAAAACTTTTTCCGCAAGCGTAAATATTCCAGTTGGATTTAGCTGATTGTCTACTTTGAGATAAAAGAATCCCAGTTCTGTACAAGCTTGAAATAGTCTGGTGAATTCTGCGGCATTCTTTTGAACGAGAAGATTGTAGTCGATAATTACAAGCGGAACGCCTGGTACAGATTCTATAGATTCAGAAAATGCCGATGTTATTGAACTTTTTTCAGCTGTCAACATATTGGCTCGAATAAATCAGTGCCAACAATTTTTTCTGGTGAAAGTTATACGATACAACAAAACTAAGTTATCTAAAAAATAAGAGATAGGCAGCTTCAGACTTCTTTCAGTAGTTCCATTTCGACTTCTCTCTAGCCTCGATCTGATTGGAATTTCTTTGACTACTGCTCCGCTTGTAATGAGAAATGGTTATTTAACCGGAAAACCTGTTGTTTTTCGCTCCTTCATAGACTAGTGCTCATACTAATTAATGACGATTAAGTTCGCTTTAGAAGGATAAACACTGAAATGGAAAAATCTACAACTCACGGTATCCATCTCACATTTTCTCGTCTCAGCTTCGTGGAGCTGCTCATCTGTTGTTTCCACGTGTCTGATTTGATCGAAAGTCTTTCTTGTTCTAAAGTACGAGGATGGATGTGGGTGTGAATGAGTGGAGACATGAGACACAGACGCTCAGTCATAGTCAGAATTGCACTCCATAACCACAGCGACAGCCACATGCATATCCTTATATTCCTACAGTGAACAGAAACGATGGTTCTAAATGCCAAAAACTAATGATACATTATCCCATAATAACAATCTTACCATTCTGTTGCTGTTTATGGATATCGAGCGAGGCACACTGATTTAAGTTTCTTATCAGACATATCAAGACTAATTAAGAGTCATATTGCGCAGAAATCTAGAAGTTAAAATGGGAAAATTCATAATACCAGATTAAAAAACAAAAACGCCATTGTCCTAAATATATTACATTATGGTGCAAAGATCCCTCGGACTGTGCTCTAAAAATCCAACATTTAATGGTCGTTAAATCCCTATACTAAAATAAAATGTGCCCTGTGCATTTTTTTTTCGCGCACACGAGATGTTTGTTGCGGCACAATTTGAACAGATGGTTCAAATTCAGTAGACAAACCATTTTTTCATTGTTTCTGTACATTGAAATGATTTTTATTTTTCCAGTGTCATTCAAATAATGATATCTATTCTTACAGCTGAAGCCGACCGGATCTTAAGATCCAGCTAGCTCCTGTTCGTCAGATTTTGATCAAACAGGTTCAAGACAGTCGTTTTTTTGATCATCGATCGATCTCTTAGCATGTTGCCGGCCAATGGATAATCGAGAAAAATAATCTAAGAAAAAAAGATGCATGACAGTATGCAAATTAATTATGCTTCATTGAGACGGCTATATGTATCTGTATGCGCAAATCGAAATGGTGAAATGAATGGTCAGCAAACAGACCACCAGACATTTATAATACGACACATCGTTGTGATAGAGTCTTTTACAATAGTGAATATAAGAGATGAAAATTTTATTATGAGTAGAACTCATTGTTATAGAGATTCAAAAGAAATCTTGGTTTGAGTGATCAAACTGTTCTCGACATATCGAAACAATAAAGTTCTATATTTGAGTCGTAGGTCGAGGAGGAGGAGGCGCATTTTCACTCTTTTGCTAACAAATTCATTATAAATGAAAGGTTTAATATTTTTTTAAATGATTTGCATTAAAATACATAAAAATGTTGTGCCTATCACATATCTTAAATTGAGCAAGATCTGAGATTGTCGATTGATTATGTTCTATAATGGTCAATCGCCACTGATGTAGACTATCGCTTATGGAAAAAGAAAGCAGATATTTACCATTTGTTTTTAACATATAGCCGGCAATTGTCTTCATATAACTATGAAGATATATACAAAATGATGATTGTATTTCAAATGTAACGATAACACAAATGAATTCTCATATTTCAGTTTGACGAAAGTAAATAATAGAGTTTGTGTCCTTATCAGTTATTTGATGTAGAACGAACAAGATAAGACTAAAAGCCTTTCTAAACAAGTTCGATAACAATCGATCGTACACGGTAGTGTACTGTTTAATTATGATAATAGACAACAACCGCTTGCTATCTAAACTAACAAGGAAACTTCATCAAGAAATAGATCGTTTTTCTCTTACACAAGTCCTAACTCGTTAAATAGGCTTTATGAACACGAGAAAAAATTTAATAGGATGCATCTCCATAGATAGTTATTGGCATTTTAGTGAATTTTGCAACAATATATTTAAGTAACCTAGATAGCATCATTGACTCTTGTATTTCTTTTTTCTCGAAAATCAATATTGAAAATACTGATATGCGAGAAAAAAGCTCATAAAACTTTCAACTTACGATTACATAGACTAGAAGAAACTAATGAGAAAATTTGATCCTTTTGAGCGTGGAGTTGTCTCTTCGAGAATTTTATTCGTACAAAAAATTTTTGAATTGAAAGCTTGCAAGACGATTTTGAAAGTGATCTAAGTTAGATCATAACTATTTGTTTTAGGTTTAATAAATTATTCTATAAGTAAATAGTTTGACAAATTCGTCGTCAACTTTCTCTAAAATATGTTTGGTATTTGTTTTGATATTATTTCTAATAATAAGCCTAATCGAGCACGTGAAAAAGCTAACAACGTTTAGTCATATTGTCTTATTATCGTTACATACAAGAACAATAATTAGGAAGCAGAAACAAAAATCATTATTGATTACCTGAAGAACAGCATAGATTAGCTTATTTACTCTAAAAGCATGATATCATTGACATAGATGCGACCCTGATTTATGAGTAGGAGAGACTCATAATGTTTCACATTTTTATTTCGCAGCAATTAAATTGGAATATTTTATTACAGTTTCGAGTTTCATCGAAGGTTTGGAGTAATGTTCCATTGTTGATTGAAACCGCCATAGTTTGACCATGCAATAACACGTGCACCAGGTACAGTGTTATGATTTTCGATATCGATAACCTTATTTGCACTTGGACATAATACATACAGGCCATTCTAACTTCCATTGTTGATTTGCTCCCATATTATTTGGCTATATTATTAGACTAGTTCCCCGAATGCCACCATAGATATCGATCACCATTCCAGTGGCCATATTTCGAATGGTTCTATCTTGATCGAAAAACCACAGTTGACTGGACGGATCTCCACTAGTTCTATTTTTCATAGGATATACTGCAACCGGAGTACCTGGTTCAACACTACTATTGTAAATATCAAGTACATAACTGTTCATTTTGGATTGAATATAATAACCTAGAATACAATTATCTGTTATCATTGAAAGAAAATAAGCAGATTTAGGTAGAATGTGTATTTTCAATATATTGTCAAACACGGTTAAAAATGATCCTGTCCTATCATTAGCGTCTCACTATTCCAACAGAAAGGTGACAAACAGATAAAATAAGTAAAATTTTCTATCTATTACAAATTGTGGCGAAAATATCGCTCAAATCCTCAAATGTTATAGAATGTGACAAATACATGATAGATACGTTTGAGAAAATGTTTTTCAATTTGAATTGCCCGGCTTGGATTTTATTTATTTTGTGAAATGCAACTGCTAATGAATGTCAGAGTAAATACCAAAAAAAAACTAAAATAAATACATCTTTTCCATCTTGCTCTACTAAATCGTCACACATATATTAATATGAGGATGAGAGCGCATGAAGGATAAGAAGTTGATTGGATAGATGTGCCGACTAGGGTGTCTACATAGTCTAAAGCGTGGGTTTTAGTCTTATCTTTATCCATCCAATCTTGGCTATTCCTTGAGAGAGTTTGAAAAGATTTGGTTAAGTTTTATTCAAGATCGTGTCTCGGAGTCTAATAATTTCTGCTTGCAGAATTTTCAAATGTTAAGCAAGATCCTTTTCAAGATTTACTCAGCTTCCTACTCAGATATTTTCCTGCATTGACAATGGAGAGTTCTACCAGGAGTCATTCTTAATCCTTCAAGGATCTTGCCGAAAACAACAGACAGGAACTTACCGAGATATTATTAAGTTTTCGTCAACATCCGAACTAAATCGTTGTATTAGAATGCTATCAGGATCAGTATCGATTAGGATTCCGTTCAGAAGTTTACAAGTATAAGCGTTTACAAATCTTGCAAGACAATATCAATTCTAATCAAAATCCTGATTAAGAAAGCATAATGATTTAGTTAGGACCTTTGATAGCTATTGCTTACTACAAACGATCTAAATAGTTCAAATGTTTGAAGATTAGTGTTTCAAACCTATTGAGAATTCGATTTTGAGGATGCAATCAAGATCTATAAACGATTCTGTTGAGTATCCTAGCAAAAATGAATGAAAAATTTTCATAAAGATCTCAGCTAATTTTCGTTCAGAATTTGTACAAGTTTCAAAAATCTATAGATCAAAACACAATTTCAACACTCCTGTTAAGAATGATCTGAACAACAATAAATGGAACGATTTTTCAAAATTTTATAGTTTTGTTTCTAATGTGATAGAATCGTGATTATGATTTAGAGCTTGGTATAAATACATACAGAGCGAAATTAATCTGAGACTCGATCCTTAAAAACTAGTCATATTTTCTTTTGATATGAAAAAAAAGTTTGAAACATTATTAAATTAGACTGACAATTTTAATTTGGCTATCACAATATTTTTCCATTAAATAACTATATTTAGTATCTAGCATATCTCTCGCTAAAAGCTTTTCATAGTTTCAATTATGGGTGCAAAAAAGAAAATCAGAAATACATTCTTTATGTTAAGTCAAAATGAACAAAATATAGAATGGAAAAAACATTTAAAATTTTTTTGAGATACTTTGTGTTCATGCAAAACTCAAGTAAAAGTTTCTATTGCAGTCAAAACTTGTGATACTGAACATCATAGTTTGACACTATAACATGCTACTTTTTATTTAGCTTTAGAAAGTTCGACATGATGTAGACAGTAATTTCTTGTTTAATTCGAACTCGTTGGAGTGCTACCAGGATCCTAATCTAAAAACAATGTAAAGCTGATCACGATCCTTCTAAGATCTTCTTCCATACCTTGCCAAAATCTAGATCATTTCGTAGCTACAAGTTTATTTCATGATTTAAGATCATCTGAATTAATACTTGATTTTAAATCTAGCGATACGCTAGTCAAGATCTTGATTGAATCCTGTTTTAAATCATGAGAGAATCTTGGAACTCCATGGGTACATTCTTTCTTCAGAATTCGGCCATTTCCTCTAGAAAAAATGATGAACTATTGAAGAACCCTTATTGCATCTATTAAGGATACGGAACAGACACATCAAAGGCTTCCGCTATGACATGTGAAACTTTCAACTGAACGAGTAATCTTCTACTAGACATGCGGTTGTTCTTCGATCATTTCGAGGATCTCAAGAGTAGAAATCTTGAAAAATACAAAACTCGCTATTTGTTCAATGATGCTGAAATCGAGAAGACGATGTTCTTAACCGTCAACACGTTTCAACTTGATAATATTCGATTAGATTTTTAAAGAAAAAGTTATTTCTTCCTACTAATCAAAAGGCACCCGTGTTCCATCAATAATAGTCATAAGTACAGTTCCAGTATTTGCTAATATGGTATCATTATTGTCAGGCACTTCAGCAAATAATTCACATAGGTTATTTGATTGATGAAAATTGATGGTACGACATCGTTCTTGAGCTAAGCAAGCAGTCTGGCAATATAGCAGCCGAGACACTGAAATTTTAGCTAATGGATAACAACTTGCGTTAGGACAACGAAATTCCACATCGATCATTGATGACATTATCATCGAACGTACAATTGCTGAAGATGAATGTGCGAACACAATGAAATGAAAAAGAAGAATAAATTTTCTCCACATCATAGCATACGAAGTCTGAAGTTGTTAAAATAACTTCAATTATCTCTGGAGACAAAAGTAAGGCGATCAATTTATGAGAAAAAATGTGAAAGAAAAGAAATATGTTACATATTCAATTTAAAACATCTCGATCTCGTTGAAACTCGTTAGACAAATGACACTTTTGCTACTTTTTCTCTAATTTACGATTTTCTTTTATTCTCTTCCATAATTCATCGCACTCTCACTTGAAAATTAGAATATCTCTTACTGTCTTTGCGTATGCTATTGTTATATGAGAAAAAAAGCAATAGCTACCATACACGACTGATAAAGGTTTTTCTTTGAGTTAGAGCTATGTGCGAAATATTAAATTAAAGAATTCCTACTTCATTCTTCAAACCTGAAATGCTTCGAAGTTACAGACGACTTTGCAGAACTTTCGATTGCATAATTTATCAGCTCTACTACAGAAAATTTTTCCTGAACATACCGTCAACATATGTTTCTTTGAGCACGAGTTGAGTTCAATGGGAAAAAATTTCCTTTTCAGGATGCATAGAGTTGATCGAGAATTACGAAATGTTTTAAAAAATAAACCGGAAAATATACTTTCATCAAGAACTTTTTCAAAATCATTCTGTCCCAGCGATTGTGAGGCGCATCTGTTTCTTCTTCTCTGCTTCAAGAATAATTGACAAAACTCTTTGATTTACATCATCCAAACGAATCGTCTCTCACTTTAACTCATTTAGATAAAAATTCATTCTGAATATGAACGACATCATCTTATAATTCCGGCTTTCGTGTGAAAAGCATAGCGTCATTCATTTCCTGATGATATCTTGAAACCAGCGGTCTAACCAATGGAAGAGTAAATGGCCAATTGTCCATTTCATTTGGAGGGTATGGGTGTGGTTTTTTTCTCTTCTTCAATAAGACACCACATCCACACCCGTCATGTAACTATTCATTACAAGCAAGATTCCATAAAAGAATTTTAGTAAAGAAGTATTAAACAATTTTAAAATATTATTCTATTGGAGAATTTATCATACTGTATTATGTGAACCAATATATCTTTCACATATAACTGAACAAAGGTATTAGTTCATGTATTCTCGTTTGAACTTTTAAGGCAAGATACTTTGGATATTTCAGAAACTGTCATAAAAATTAAAAAGCTCTTGAAAGAGAAGTTCTTATCACTGTTGTATATAATGCTGCATGAGTTAAATATATCGATAAACATCGAACATTCTTTTCGTTTTTTTTACAGAAACATCGGAGAGCTTGCTCTTTTTCATTTTGTCTAATTACTTAGAAAGTACACCAAAATAGGTAATTATTGGATTCCTTTTTATTACACTTATTTACAAATCATATGGAGAAACCTCACAGAAGCAAAAGCATATGTGTTCGACTACCAACAGAACAGAAAAAGAAACAGTGAAAATTATTTTTGTGTATTTCATCTATAAGAGAACGGCAAAACAAATTACAGCAATATAAAGAAAAAAAGTCAAATAATGATGATTCATTCAGACAAATTGAAGATCACTTTTTATGTACTTTAATTTTATAAAATAATGCTTAGAAAGAAAATCATGTGCAGTTTTATATATTTATTCGACACAAATTATTATACAAATAGAAGGCAGCGTGTCTGTAATTATTAACATCACAAACCAATCAATTACTTACATAGAAAATATAAAATGAAAATATTTTCCTCCTCATTTTTTTGTTTGTGATAATGTATGAATAATGTCTTGTCATCTACATAGTTTAGTATATTAGATTTGCGTTCATTTATATTAGAAAAAGAAAAGAAAATTTAGACTCTGTTCAGAGAGTTATTTTCATTCAATTTCATGCTGGTTCACTTTTGAAAACTCTTTAAAAGATTGTGAGATATAGATGTGGATGAGAATGAAAGTGTGTATAGATCACAGGAGGAGACACCCACAAACTTTAAAATACTTAGTGTTCTTTCAAATCAGTTTTTTTCTTAAATCAGTTATTTTCATTATTTTTGTGTATTTCGACAGGCAAATTTAATTCATTTCAGAAATAAAATGCTTGAACATGAAAAATAATAAATTGTTTCAAATACTTTCTTTAAAACACAAACAACATTAGGATGAGATTCTATCATTGCTTGTAATGTTTCTCTTTTGTATATGTGTCAAACGCTTTTTGAGAACAAGGAAGAGATTTTGAAGATGTTTACGTTAATTTGTTTTAATTTCTTGTGTTTGTACAATATATACAAGTGTTGTATATTTTCATTTGTTAATAAATTGATTTGGTTAAGTTGAAGGAGCGATGTCACATGTTTATTGATTTCATTTGAATCATTAAATATTCATCATTGTACAACATCTGATCAACGAAGATGTACGACTTTTTCTGGTTTAATAATTTTTTCACTGCTGGACTATTATCATCATTATTTTTCATAATAGAATAATTTTATTGTTGTAAAGAATATACACTTATCAAAAATGAAATCTTTAGAATTTTCAATTTTCTTTTTGCAATAGCTCATTGTATTTCTTGCTTTGTTTTCATTCCATATTCAGTAATTTAAATGCATCCTAAAGAGTGTCAGATATATACACTTTGACAGAGACATTTAGAGACTAATTGCTTTTTCTCCCAATGTATAATGACAGCTCAAGAAAGTATTTCGAAACGATTCGTATTTTAATGATTTATCGAAGAACATTTTATATCAGATACAAAATTATCGGTTTGGTTTTGTTTTATTTACTTATTTCAAATCTGTTAGTATTATCTATCTACTATCATACTTGTATCATTTCCATAATTTTCAGAATTTTCTTCCCTTCTATAGAACTATTAATCATATTTATTATCAGTTCTTTAATAATCTAATAAAAAAGTTTTCGATAAATGTTTATATTTCTCTTTTATTATTTTATATGGTTTGTTTTGAAGAAAATCGTTTGACTGAGTTCTTTGTTTTTATCATCGTCGTTGTTTTATTTTTTGGATGTGTGAAAATTACCGATGATGATAAAAATGAAATTTATCAGCAAAGGTTTACGTGAGCTAAAATATGAAACTCACACATATCCCGTCATTATGCTAATATAAAATTTGCATCTGGAAAAATCTTTCGTAATGATAGCTCATCTCTAAAAGTGTATTTCATTGAATATGAATGAGTCTCATTTCCACAAGTGAACTATCTCTGCAACACAAAAAAATAGATCTTTTGTTTTCCATTTTAAAAGTTTTTCGTGACAAAAATTTAAGCAATTGAGAAAATTCATGTTGCGATTAATAATCAGAGTTATCTCACTTAATTCATTGAGACAGATTTGCTTCCGATTGTATTTTTCGATACGAGTAAATGGCGAAAAACTATTTCTTATCTTCAGTTTGTTTAGTAAAGTCATTGTTTTTATGGAAATTCGAATCATTTTCTATGCGTTTAAGAGACAGCAGTTTCGACAGATTTTATCTGTTATAAAATAATAAATCCTAACAATTGAACGAAATATTATTCTATTTTTATAATTCAAATCCATCTCAAATATCAAGAAAATAATTGCTTGTAAATAAAATCTATTCTCTTTTTTTTTCTATTAAATTCATACTTTGATAATAGGTGAAGAACTTTAATTAATTTATAATGAATTATGTATTGATCTCAAATGATATTGTTTTTGATTGAAAAATTTCAATATTTAGTTTATATTCCATTAACAAGTTGACTGTGATTGAGATGTATTTGAATAATGTTTTTTTTTCGCTAAAAAAAAAAATTTCTATTAATTGTCAGATATTGTGTGTGAGTAATTAAATGACTTAGATTAATTTTAGTGACCAAGTAGGGATTTTAGTGTAAGGAGTTTTTTATTGAGCAATCTTTTTATATTAGATATACTATAATCCAATACGATATTGGATAGATGTTCGATCCAACTATAAAAAGTTTTAAATTGCACTATTAGCTTGAATCAATTAGTCATATCATAGATACGATATTTTTTTATACCCCCACATGTCATCAATAAAAAGTATTGATGATGGTTAATAATTAATTATCTTTCCCACTTACTTTTGAAGGAAAAAAACCATCAAGGGAAATAAGCAAGCGTGTATCAGATAAATATATATAGAAGCAACATGCAAGCAATATAAAAAAAGACTCAATCGAGGAAGCAAACAACAAACGTTATTGACTTGTGTCTTTCGCTGCCAAACAAACAGAGACATTCTTGCTTTTAAAAGATTGCGACGAATATTAACAAGCATTTGAATTGTTCAACTTCAACAACTACTACAGCTAGAAATTCGAGTAAGTTTTTCTTATGTATCGTTAAAAGTTAATTACTGAAGAAAAGCTGTTAGTGTAATTCTTGCCAGATTAAAATATGAAACATAATGTAGCTCTTGTTACTAATCATAGAGAAATTGTTTTATTCTGTCCACCGTGTTCTCGAGAAATGCAATAAGAAATTATTTCATGTATTATAACGAGACATTATTCATATATGGTCTGTGACAGAGATAAAGTTTCTAAGGTATTTTTCACGGTCTGTGATGATTACATGATAACGTCCGTCACACTCTGGGGGGGGGGGGTACAAATGTGCACTCTTTTTACTTCAACATTGTTTTATAGATCATGTTTCACAATCATCGGGACCTCTTTCCTTCAATGCTCTCAGGCTGGCCTAATAATAGTCTAGAAACTTAGTCGCATTTGTCAAAAAAAGCTTAGGAGAAAATTTCACTTTTTAAGCCTTTTTCCTCCTGATAAATCATTTTGCGCGAACATGAAGTGAATCTTACTTCGTTCTCTCTTACGTTCTACTTTTGACAATCAATTATGAATGTAAGGTGTAAGTGTGTTAATTGTTTTCTAACCCACGCTTCAAGTATAGCATAAGAAGCAGATGCTACAGTCTCTAATATACTCAGATGTTGAGCGATAATGCTATCAGTTTGTTTTTGTTTTAATGAACTTTTAGAAGAAACTGATTTACTCATTGTAAACACATTTAATCACTTTTATTTTCTTACATCACGTTTTATCTGAATATATTAGCAGTCATTCCATCCTATGTCCTTACTTAAATAGTTTCATATTCAGCGAATGAGAAATCAACATCACATAAGAGACTCAATCGTGAAAAAACGAATCTACAACTATTCGCCGTTGTTATTCTTCTAATTCAAATTTTAGCTGCCGTTCAATAAACGTCACATAGCATGTATTTTATCAATATTTGGCTGGGCATTATTCTGCTCGGGATTAGCAGTGGACTAACAATTACTAAGCGCAGGTAAGAAATCATGTGAAGAAATAGCTATACATATTTCTCATTATTGAATTAAAGTTTGCTCGACACTCTCAGAGAAGATATCAAGAATGGACACATACCGATGAAAGGTGTCAACCTTGGTGGTTGGCTCGTTGCAGAAAACTGGATGACAAAAGGATCGCCAGCCTGGAATGGAGTTCCCGATGACATTGCCAACAAGGGTGAATACCAAACGATGCAATATCTCGGTAATCATCGTTTGTTAATTGTTTTATAAACTATCGTCTTTCTCTTGTACAGGTCATGCCAAAGGTGATAATCAATTTAAACAACATCGCGATTCATTCATCACTGAACAAGACTTTCGTGATATCTCTGCCGCCAAGATGAACACTGTTCGAATTCCTGTTGGGTACTGGATCACAGGTTTCGACCATAGTGGTGGTGGTGATCCGAACGGATGGCAAGTATTTGCTCCTAACGCAATCAATTATCTCGATCGAGCGATTCGAGAATGGGCACCACGATATAATCTGGTCGTCTTAATTTCATTTCATGCTGCCAAAGGTAGTCAGAATGGAATGGATCATAGCGCAGCATCTGATCCGGGAAAATCACACTGGGGAAACTATCCGGAAAATGTTCAAAATACCTTGGATGCTGTCGAATGGTTAGCGCGAAGATATAATGCCGATGCAGCATTTCTAGGCATCGGTTTGCTCAATGAACCATCGGGTATATTCTTCTTCATATTAAAAATTTGTCATTTTATCGCTATTCTATTGATAGGCACAACCCCAGAAAGTGTTTTGAAACAATACTACTATGATGCCTATGGACGTATTCGTCTTTTTTCCAGTTGCCTTCTAGTTGTCGCTCCTTTACTCTATCAACAGGGACCTTCTGACAGCGATTGGAATAATTTCATGCGATGGCCCTATTTCTACAATATTCGTCATGAATGGCATCGTTATCAAATTTGGGGTTTTGAGGTAAATAAAATTTTATATCTCTAATTTCTTATACTCTTGTATATACAGGGTTGGAACAAGGATAGACTGATTTCTTATGCACAGAACGAACTAAAAAATGCTGTAAATGCATGGACAGGTAACTGGTTATTCATTGGTGAATGGTGCATTGCATCGTCGGCTAATTTTGACAACGACGACGATCTGCGTCGCTATGCTCAAACTCAACTAGAAGCATTCAAAGGAGCCACTGGGGGTTGGACCTTTTGGACATGGAAATTCTACCATGATGATGGCTCACGAAATGGATGGAGCATGAAAACTATGATCAATCGAGGTTTTATTCAACTTTAATCAGTGACTGAAAAAGATAATTCAGCGAAGAGATTCACTTTACTCAAACTGATATTCTTACATCATACAGTATTCTCACTCTCTAACCTTTTTTCAATCAATCATTCATGTAATAAATATGTAATCTATTTTTCTGCCAATGCAAACTTTCTTTGTCGTTGATGCCATAGCATACACTCAATCATAGACTTCTTGCCCTTTGTTCTTTGAAGGGAAGATCGTCGTTCCAGTATCATGCGCAGTTTCTAGAAGACTGTTCAGAAATGTATACGACGAAGTGTATGAAATGTTTCAATTTAAACTGAATTTTGAAATAAGAAAAATGGTTCCCTTTTGGATGTGAGTTTGGGTCTGAGGTAGATGTGACAGAATAGAACAATATCACTAACCGATGCACAAGCCTTCGATCTCAATGCCAAATAAAAGCAAACTTCAAAAATGATAGTATATTAATGCACATAGAACAACTTTGCCGGAAACAGTTAGCGTAGGAGTCAATAGCGATAAACATTCGTATTTTCAAACATGAAACACTTATTTTTAGAAGGAAGTTTATGCTTTCACGCACAAAGGATGCAATTTCGGATTATAATTATTGGACGCCAATTTAAGCATTGACCATGACTAGTTTTTGAAAATTTACTCGTTTTTGCACTAATATAGTATCATTCATCGAGTTTTTTTTTCTGACTTCTTATTATTACACCAGTTGAGTACTGGAAATGATCGATGAAACGTTTTATATATATTATTCTCTAGTTAATAGTAGATGAAATTTTTTAGTGAGCCCCAAAATAACACTTGACATTGCTCTTGGTTTGGATCGTCCGTATGAAAAAAAGATAATTTTGGAAAGGCATATAAAACCAAGCCAAAAAATCAGTCTATGCGAAAGAACCAAAGTGGATCTATTCCAATTTTATTTTATAGCGTTGTTGCAAGAGAAATCTTTAAGTACAAAAATATATTTCTTTCGGTGTTGCAAGTTATGTAACGACACAAGAAACGTATCGAATATTGTCTATCATTGAAACTAGTTTTATCGTCGTTTTACTTTTAAATAAATCATGTGTTATGTATATCGTCACACATATTTATTCATATGGAACACAGTGAAATACCTCCTAAGACTAGTGTCAATGGATGTTTCTCAAAGAGAAGAATGGCTAGCTATAAATCTCATTTAGGAATGTATTTGACCATGTGACAGTCAATGTTTTATACTATTCTCATACATGCTTGAACAAACCTATACTTTCTAAAACCATTTCCTAATGTTAAAGCAGCTTTATATCCCTGAAGATATTTGACATTTGTTCTTCAAGTATAAATTTTATCTAAATAAAATACACAATTATCTAATCGTTCTCTTGCAGGAAATGTAACCAATGGATAATAATGAAATTAACGATCACAAACAAAGAATGAATCGGAATCAAAGGAATTAACTTAATTGACCTGATTCTTATCGGATATATGTAACCAATTAACAGCAATATCTCGATTGATTTCATTGATGAAAAATGTTCGAACATCTAAAATAACGTTAATAGTTTCTTTGTAGTTAGCTATCAATAATGATCTAATCGATTTTTTCGATTTCAGGTAAATTTTATTGACGAATATAGATACGACATTCAGGTATTCTTCTTGGCATTCTCTTAATTTCGTCACAAAGGCGTCTGATTTAGCGAAGTCTGACTGTCTTTTGCTCGACTGCATCATGTTTTGAAATTTTTGGATTAGTAAGCATCAACACAACATAAATCCTTCAAACGAAATTGACTTTACTGAATACCTTCTATTAACATTATTTTGCATGGCATTAAGAAGCGAGACGATCTTCTACAAAATGAGATAAGAAGCGAAAGTCTAATAGCAATCTTCAGGAATGATCGAGCTGAGTATGACTGGATGGAAAGGTTCAGGTAAGACACTCCTCACACCCACACCCGAAAGTTCTATAATATGTTTCGTGTTTTATTATTCAATGGCATGAACAGTTCCGTAGATCATCTAGGTAAAATATTCAGTGGCCCTATCAATTTTTCTTATTGTTGACATTTGTATCAAGATTTTTGGAAAGACAATCGGTTTGGCTTTGCATAAAGTTAAGACAATATGAAAAACTTTTTCTCTATATCACACTAATTAAGATCATTTGCTTGATACAATATAAAGTTCATCGATTGATCTGCTGATGTACAAATGATTAAATTGGTTTGCATTTCATTCTCATATAATCATTGAAAATCTGTTCTTTGAAATGTCGATTGTAGTGACTAATTATTAGCATTTTTATAGTATGCTTCTTTTTTTTTTAAACTATATACTTATGAGTATTGGTGAGTTTCAAATTTGCATTATTTCTGTTAAAAAAATAGTTATACATACATGAAATATTCTGTTTGATATGATCATGGAACCGCATGAATTTATTTTGAAAAAAACCTATTGTTTACAATCATATCATTGACAAAAAAATTAAAAAGAAACGATACTGCATTATAAAATTTAACGTGATAAACAGAAAAATATTCATAATGTTGAATGAAAATCTGGGTGTTTTCGTTCTGTGCTATTTTATAATGTCGTTTATCATGTTTCAATTTGATCTTATTCTTGTTATCCGTTACGTTTAGTGGTTACTGTTGTGGTTATTACTTGCAAACCGCTTGTTAGAGCAGTAACGATCTGAGTTGTATTAGTGATTGATGTCGACTCTTCTAAAATTATCTCAACAAAATAAGTGTTTGCTAGTCAATCTAACAAAATTTATATATAACGCTAAATATTTTAAAATTTTCTTTTTCTATCGATGGAAAATGTAATGATGAGATTGACATCGGGATAGAATTTTACCAAGGATTTTTTTTCAAGAAATAATGAAACGGTCCATTGACACTAACTACTCACTGTGGTCATGTAAATATAAAGTCAATAATGTTGCTAATGCAATACTGCCTATCAAAGCACCGAGTAAAAATCCGATGAGTATAGATTTTGAGCAAAAAGACAATCTTCTAAAAATCAAATTCTTATTTTTTTCATAGAAAGTTGAATGAGATAAAGAACTTACTTTTTCAAACTGGTTTCGATTTTTTTCGTTTCATTAATATCTCGTTCTTTATGATTGTTGTCCATTTGCTCGATAGTAGCAAGTATTCTACCTACAAATTTCTGTTGTGCTGATAAAATTGTAAACCAAATGAAATACTGCAGATCAATAAAATAAAAAAGAAAGATATGAGTTTTTACTGTTCATTCATCTACGCAATGTATTTCTTCTATTATTTATATGAATTCACATCATATTCACGAAAATACTCTTTCACGATTGCGAATAGACTTTAATTTACTATATATACAACATAATGATATAATGAATTCTACACATACAACGCCCTCTTGCAAGTTCGCGACGTTCGAAATAAAAAATTGATGTATGTAATGTAAGTTTCATTAAACAAAAAACAAAAATCTTTCATTATATTTTGTGAAGCTGAATAACTTGCTTTTTTTTAATTATGAATAAAAGATCAACATTACTTGTCTCACAAACTCTCATGTATTTCGACAAGAACGAAAAGCAGCAAGTATTCATCGACAAAAAGTTAAGGTTGTTTAAAATGCAACAAAAAGATATCTTTTTTAAGTTGGTTCTAGTAGACTAAGGTCACACACTTCGATTGAGTCGAGCTTTTCAGAATGTGATTGATTTCACATGAAAAATACTGACAAAGACGAATGAATCAAAGAAGAAGTGGCAGTTTCACTATTTTTCATTTCACCAAATTGGAAGGAAGTGAGACTTACCGATTTATGGAGACACTGTTCTGGAATTTTTTGTTAGATCAAAACTTTGAAATTTGACTTCACAACTTTTTGTGTCTGATATAACTCTTAGGAATTGCAAAAAAATGTTGTGTCTTTAATTTTGAAATTTCACACCTGATCTGATAGATGTCGATGCACAGTTGACGAATCATATTGTTATTGAGGCTCGGTCGAATAATAAGAAAAATGTGATATAACTTGCATATTCATTTTAAAAGTAACCGAGACCTCTGAGAGACAATACCCAGTCAGACAAAAATTTTGAAAAACGCGTTTAAACGCACAATCGGGAACCGCGATTGTAAGCTATTAACGCTCATTAAAAAAACGCATGAAAACGCGTTTGTTGGCGTTTTTTGTAACTTCATGGGCGTTAAAACGGCGACAATTCCCGTTTTTGAGCGTTAAAACGCACTATTATTCTAGAACTTAAAAATAATACGTTTTAACGCTCCAAAATTGGAGTTTTCGCCGTTTTAACGCCCATAAAGTTACAAAAAACGCCAACAAACGCGTTTTCGTGCGTTCTTTTAATGAGCGTTAATGGCTTACAATCGCGGTTCCCGATTGTGCGTTTAAACGCGTTTTTCAAAATTTTTGTCTGACTGGGTATACAAATCAAAAAAGTCTGTTATCGATTTTAATTAGTAAGAGTTCTAGAGCCAGGGACTAGTTTTGCTTCTATCAAGAAGTTTTGTAAGAATTCGGACTAGAAAATTCTTCATATTTTTCTTATTATTCGACCAAACCTCAATAAAAATATGATATTCGTCATCAGTGCAACAACACCTATCAAATCAGATGTACAATTAAAGAAGAAAACTTTTTTCCAACTCCTGAGAAATCTATTAGAGACGACAAATTGTAAAGTCAGATTGCAAAGCTTTGATCTAACAAAAAATTTCAGAAAAGAATCCTGATATAAATGGACAAGTGTCACTTGCTCCAATTATCTGAAATGAAAAATAGTGAAATCGCCACTCCTTTTTTTGATGATAAAAAATTATATTCGACATCCAGCGCTTTAATATTCTCTGCAAATACGAACCGAAGACGCACCTGTATTCGTTAGTCGGTATGGGTTATATTGTTAGGCTTTTTCTAGATCTCCAGAGAATCTTTGGATGTACCTTTGTTATCTGTCTATGCATAAAATTTACTTA